GTATACATTTTTCGGCCCCCTGTGTATACCATGTATGTGGGGGGGCAGGGAATTTTTGTTGTAGTCTCTGCACTTTTGTTCACCTTTAGCTCAATAACAAGCAGAGCTGTTGTTATTGTGTTGGTGAATGATTCACAGGTTCGTTTGTCTTCATCCTCCGTCATGTGGACGCCCTGAACGCAGAGCCGGGGCTGGCACTGAGCATGACCCCTGCACCCAGCAGAGGAATACGTGCTGGCTGGGCCGCTCTCCCTCCCGCCCCCTCCCCACACTGCTACAAGAGGAAGGCGCTGCCGCTGTGTGGCCGGCCTCCCCTCTTTCTGAGGCCCCCCTTTCCCACGCTCTCTCCTTCCTTGCTTGTCCCCAGCAGCAGCTGCAAGAGGATGTAGGTCTGGAAAACTGGAATGAAGTCACACGAAAGAGCTGGACACCCAGTCAGCTACACGAGCAGTGCAGGCTGGGTGTTGCTCCTTCCTGCCAGCCCTCCTTGCAGAAGGATATATGTTTAGGAAACATAGCCAGAAAGAAATCCAGTGAAAATGAGCTATGAAACTTGGACATCCTGGAGAAATAATATTTACAGAGGAAACTCTTGAGACGAACTCTCACCGGCGCAACAACCCTGGCGCTGGGGCTCGTGTTGGAGGGCTGACGGCAGTGCAGGGCATGCCTCTGGCTCTGCAGACCGAGTGAGGCCTGTGCACAGCTGAGCTGGGGCCCCACAGCTGGCAAATCAACTCTACCCATGGCAAGACAATCCAGGGCCAGCCAAGGCAGCAGAACGGAAACAACTGGGAAATGAAAAGCTTTGGTAAAAAAAAAAAAAACAAAAAAAAAAACTTTTGATTACCTAAAAGACCCGCCCTTTGGGATTTCTGTGGATTTTATCAGGGACACTTACAGTCACAAATCCGCTAGAATGTGTTTGACTAAATGCCTACACATGCGGGTGATAGGTGGAAAAGTCCTAGGCAACTCACCCTGCTTCATTCCATGGTTCCAGATGGGATCTGGATGAGCGCCACCACCCTGTACATGTCTGATGACAAGGGGGTCCCAGCAGGGACCAGCCCATCTCAGAATGGCACCCAAGAGGTTGTGTGAAAGAGGAAAAAGAGGGATACTTAGGCTACTCGAGCCTGGGTTCTGGCCATGGGTTTGTCCCGCCTTACAAGTATCACCTTACGTAAAACACACTCTTACCAAACTTCAGCTCCTCACCTATATGATGCGGCAGATGATCCTGCCTCCAGGGACTGCTGTGAGGAGCAGATGAGGCCACAAACGCCAAGGAAACCATCATAACCGCTATTGTCATAGATGAGCAAACAGAGGTAAATAATTTTCCCAATGATCACACAGCTAATACACAGGCAAGCAGAATTTGAATTCCCCCCGTTGTATCCTGAAGTCCCCACTCTGTACTTTCACACAACTTATACCAAGAAGAAATAGCACCATACGTAGGTCATTGTGGGTGATCAATAGAAGTTTAACCTTCCTTTGGTCTTGCTTAGACAGACAGGACTATGCTGAGAAATTGATATAAAATGTATGTCAAAGTTCTCTGACAACCATAAAGCCCAAGGAAAATACAGCATGTTTTAAAATAACTTTATTGAGATATAAGTAACAAAGCATATAATTCACCCATTTCCAGGGCACAATTCAGTGATTTTTCTTACAACTTTTCTCAACAGAGTTGTGCAACCATTTCCACAATCGACTTTAGAACATTTTCCTTTCTTAATTTCAAATTAATATGGGAGTACGGATTATTAGGTTACACCGTTTGCATTTGTTAGGTCAAGGGCAAATTGTAGTTAATCTTAGAACATTTTCAAAACGAACTCCTGCACCCTTCAGCCATAATCCCCCCATCTCTACCCTGCCCAGGCCCAGTTACCACTAATCTACTTGCTGTCTCTATGGATTTGCTGAGACGAGACATTTCATTTAAACGGAATCATAAAACACGGGGTCCTTTGTGCTGCTTTCCCCCCCACTTAACACTATATTTTCACAATTCATCCGTGTTGTGGCATGCATCAGAATGTTGTTCTCTTTTATTGACAAATAATATTCTATTGTGCGTAGCATTGCTATTAAGTGTGTCTACAGGCTACATAGACTGATGGACCCAGAATGAACTTTACTGAGACTAAACCCAAACACCCCCCCCCTCCATTGTACTGGTAAGGAGACTGTGGCTGAGAGAGGCTCAACAGCCTGGCCAAGGGCAGCCAGCTGGTTGGTGACAGAGCCCCGCCTTGAACCTCACACCTGTCCATTTGGCCCCATCTTATGGCATGCCACAGAGCAGTACTGGAAACGTAACTCGAATCATCTCTGCCAATAAGCTAATGTTACTCATTCAACAAATACATGTTGGCTGTCCCTGGTGTGCAGGGTACTGTGTGAGGTACTGGGGACCCAAGGAGAAACAAGGATGTCTTTTGCTCTTCTTTTCAGAGTATACCTTCTCTTGGAGAGGCAGAAATAAATGAGCAAAGCCCCCAAATAATAAATAACTCTATGTTGTGTTAAATGCCACAAAAGAAAGAAGCAAGTTGTAGAGAAAGAGAGTGATACGGGGTCTGGGTGGCATTGGCAGGGATAGTGGAATAAGGGTGAAAATATTCATGCACAGAGCATCACAGGGAATTGGGGAGCACTTCTCTGAGGGGGAACATTGCGGTGGAGGTCTAGGGGAGGAAGAGAAACAAACTTGTGAATATTTAGAGGAAGAAGTGCCAGAGTGCAGGCATAGCAGGTGCAATGGTCCTAGGGTGGAAAAAAGCACGGTGTGCAGGAGTTTAAAAGGTGAGACAGAGTGACTGAGCGAGCAAGTGGTGCGATTCAGTGTTAGAGAAGGCAGGACCCAGATCACGATGGAGGCCCATTAGCCTGTCCCCCATGAAGACACTCTCAGACCTGACCAAAAATTGGAGGGCCTGTGGGAAAGTGGACCAGTGGTTTCCACTTCTCTTCCTGCAAATTAAACTCCATTATTCACAGGAACCTAGAAATCCGAGTCTCTAGAGCAAAAGACTTCCAAGGACAAGAGCACTGCATCTTCACTAAGGGTGATGTAACTATGTATCGCCCTTAGGATGAATCAGGAGGGAAGGCATGCAAAAAGAGGTAAGAAAATACAGGCATATTAACAGAGAAGTGAGTTAAATGATTATGGTATACCCACGTAATGGAACACAATTCAGCTGGCAAAAAGAACAAAGTATGAAGTTAACTCTTTCAGTACTGAGGTAAAGAGATGTCTAATTGTTTTTAAAAAGGCAGGATGCTGAACTATATATATAGTATGTTACCATTGGAGAGGAAAAAGTAAGAGGGATAAGATGTAGCAATATATGGAGGGGCTCTCTGGAAAGATGCACATACAATGTGTGTAGGAGAGTTTCCTTGTTTGTTTCTGTATCTCCGCCCCCCCCCCCGCCCCCAGCAGCAGGTGTCTGTAGCTCTGAAGCAGGGGCAGGCAGCTCACCTGGCCTATTCATGGTGGGAGACAGAACAAGTGGGGAGGGAACTTTTCACTCTCTCTCCTCTGATACGGTTTCCAAGTTTAAAGCATGTATTTCCTATTCAAAGAAACTAAAACAAAGACAAAGGGCCAGGAGGGGGGTTAGATCTGCCAAACAAGGGCCTGTATTCCAGTCTCTTCTGCCCCTCAGCCTCTGATAAGCTGACCCTTAACAGACATCCCTCATCTCCCTGGAAAGCTATTGGGCAGTCACTGGTTGCTGGCCTAGATTTCATTCCTAATCACAACGATGGCTGTGACAGTTTGGTAATGAAAGGAATGTCCAAATAGTCCAGAATTAATCACCATGCCCAAATGTAAACCATCAAAGCACCTTCCCCCAGAAGCACCCAGAATTATTAGTTTGTTCATAAAAAATGAGTGAATGAATAAATTAATTATTATCATATGGATATTGGATTCCAATAACATACCCATCAAGGCATCTTGAGAGTATGGATCTGGGTGAATGGGGAGTGTGACTCAGTGCATCTCACAGTCCTTGCCATCAGTTTCCAGATTTCTCAGCCTGGACACTATGGACTCCTTGGGTTGAACAATTCCTTATTGTGGGAGGCTGTCCTGTGCACTGTAGGACACTGAGCTGCATCCCTGGCCTGTACCAGCTAGATGCCAGTAGCACAGCACCTTGAGTTGTGACAACCATCACTGTCTCCGGGCACTATGAAATATCCCCTTGGGGACAAAATCACCCCCACTTGAGAACCGCTGCTCTCATCACTGCGTTGCCAGGCAACTGCTTCATCCTCGCAGCCAGAACTGGGCACTTCCCTACCACTGCCAGTGGCCCAACTGGGTTGCCACAGAGGTTGAGGGGTTGACTGAAACTCCGTATGGCTGAGTTCCCTGAGTTTCATAGGTGGCGATCAACCCTAACTCCCTGGGAACCTCTTCTGCCTGGACCAAAACCAATCTTAGATTTAAAAAAAATGACAGTCTGTTGACAGGCATCTCTCCCCCTACTAGAAGGTACCCTGTGGCAGGTGGGTAACTAAAGCAGAACACAGGCTGGCCAGCGGCCTACTCTAAAGCACCCCAGGGTTGCTGGGATGAGGGAGCCCAGGGACGGAAATGCCATTTCCTCCTCAGATTGTTTTTCTCCAGGTGGGGTGGAAAGAGAGAGAGACAGACAGACAAAAACCCATAAGGCACCATGACGGTGCACATCCAGGCATTGTGTAACCAACAGGGTGGACAGGCTGGCACGCCAGCCATCCTCCGTCCTTCTCACAAGAACCTAATTCCCAATGGACAGCTTTCTTTGGAGGGCAAAGAAAAAGGAACTGTATTTCTATGTTTTGATTAATTCGAGGCTCATCCTTGAGGGCTCTGTGAAATGAATGAGCAGAATTTTCCATGGCCAACTGTCCTGGCTGCCGGGCCCTATCGGCAGAAGCGTAGTGTTTATTTACTTTTGCTCGTGTTATTTTTATTCCAGTTCAGCTGCAGCTCAGTGCGGAAAGCGTGGGGGAGGTGTATATAAAGAGTACCCAGACTGGCCAGTACTTGGCCATGGACTCCGACGGGCTTTTATACGGCTCAGTAAGTATGAGGTTGACATGCTTCCAGACATGGCCAAGGTTTGAGGCTTCCAGAAATCTTGTTACATTGAGTGATGTAAACTGTAAAGCAACAATTAGTCTCTGTTTGTTATTTTTTCCAGGAGGATTCCTACCCTCCTGCTGCCTTATTTTAGGCACAAAGATAAAAGAGTTTCTTGTGGTATTCTCTCAAAATACTCTCGTGTATTATCGTATAAACATAGAGGAAACATTGATTGATGTTTTGCTAACTCCTCACTCACTCAGTTCAGAAGACCTAATCCCACTTCATTCATTCATTCCAAATATGTTTCGTGAGCGCCTCCCTGATGCTATAGGTGTGTCTCTTAATGGTTTTTACAGAAAAACAGACTTTAATAGTTTACATGTCATGCAAAAAGCATGGAAAAAGTCCCTTTTATGCTGGAAAGATCACCCCCCAAAATGAAAACTTTACTAACTTAATTCAACACTTATCAAATGCTTCCCATGTCTAATTGTCATGTTAGGTACTCAAATGAGCCACCTTGAGAGATAGAGTCTAATTGTTTATTCACTAGCTAAAATCCTCTTTCACTCTCACACTTAATGTTTTATGTAGGTCTGACATAATATATTTGGGATTTTGTGAGAAAAGTATGGAAATCAAAGAGATTTTGCTCCTATTTGTTAAATCTTTGCTAAAAGATTAACTGGAGAATGAAGGTTTTTTGTTTTTGTTTTTGTTTTGTTTTTGAGACAGAGCCTCAATCTGTTGTCCCAGCTAGAGTGCTGTGGTACCAGCTGAGCTCATGGAAATTTCCAAACTACTGGGCTCAAGCAATCCTCCTGCCTCAGCCTTCTAAGTAGCTGGGACTACAGGCCCACACCACCACCCCCAACAAATTTTTCTACTTTTAGTAGAGATGGAGTATATAGCTCTAGCTCAGGCTGGTCTTAGACTCCTGATCTCAAGAGATCCTCCCATCTCAGCCTCCCAGAGTGCTAGAATTACAGGCATGAGTCACCATACCTGACCCTAAGAATGAAAAATTCAACCAAAACTCATGGCTGCAGTTTTGAAATTATTTCTAGATTCCAGGGATCCGTTTTCTGTATCCTAGCATCTGCTAATTAAGGCTTGGCCATAATACCCACTCCATACTCCATTCTTCCCTTTTATGAAGATTTCTACCAAAAGACTGCCAGGGGGGATTTCATTCTGGGGCCGCCTCTATCTTATATCAAATTGCGAAGGGACAGTGGGCACAGGAAACCCTCTCTGGAAGCTGTTATCTCAGCCAGGCTTCCAGATGTGAACATGGTTCCCTTTTCTCTCACTGCCTGCCAGGGGTCAGAGAATGAAGTCATCAGAGTCAAAGGTAGCATCTAAAATACAAGATCAACTGGGACGGCTTTAAGGACTACCTATAGGCAGTCACTGCTACACAGGGAGTAGACTTTTTTTAAGGTAGTTCTTCCAATTGGTACTAAAATCAGTCAACCCACCAATCATTCAACCTCATGCCTCTACCACCTTGGCAAGTCACCCACTCGGAGCCTTGTCTAACAGGGGGCTAGTAACGGACTAACTACCTCACACAGGGCTTATGAGGATTCAATGAGACAACACCTACTGCACAGCCACTGAGCGTGGGCACATTGGAGGCACTGCGTCAATGGTGACTATATGACAAACAGCCTGCAACGAGTCCCTCAGCCTGTGTCTTAGATTACATGTTACAGTTTTATGACTTTCCTCCTTTAAATCTATTTTTCTGTATTATAACCTGCTTTTACTTATATAAAAATATTGAGGGAGAACTCCCTGAACCTAATTTCCTCTAGGCTCCAGGCACTCCCTCCTCCTACCATTGCCCTGACTGTCACTGTAATTCTCCAGTAATATGATCTTACCATATAATCCCTAAGAATTTTTACAGTTTCCCCACTGATAAAGTGAAGTTCTAAAAGACTTCAAAGTTCTGCCCCATGATCTTAACAAAATCTAGGTAATCATCCATCCTGATTCAAATCTGTGTTTGAATATGGGGAAAGAATATGTTTGTTTCAAAAAAGAAGTTTGAAAGGCTTTATAGTAAAATATTAACATGTTTATCTCTGGGGATGGTAAATGGGTAATTTTATAATATGTAAACGCCTTCCTATATTTTCCAAATTTTTTACAGTGACTATAGGTCACCTATGTAATTGGGGGGAAAGATGCTAAGTATAAAAAAGAAAACAATTAACACCACAGGCAGGAATCAGTAGCTAATCTGTGTGCCCTCAGCATTGTACCAAGCACATAGCAAGTGCTGACAAATCCTAGGCGAGGGACATAGCACATCTGATCAGGCTGCTGACTCAGCCTGTGACTCAGCTATTTTGTGTGTCAGCTGCTCCAGTGTAATAGAGAGACGTCATCACAGAACTCGGGACTGACACCTACTGAGGGGTGTCATGGAGTGAGTCTTCTCTATGGGGGAGTGGGCAAACCACACACAGGTTCAAACCACCCACTTCCTTCCACCCTTGACAATGGACATCACGCACAGCGTCTGAACTAAGTTCCTCTAGAGGCAGCAGAGTCATCCAATTAAATATTATATTTATATCTCCTCTTGTTCCAAAATGATCCAAAGTGTCTCACCCTAGTGTCATTTCACTAGACTATAAATGAATAAGAAGCAGGATACTTCCTGTTACATAGTTTCTCACTGAGGACAGCTGACTTTATTGACTGCTATACATTATCTCGAGAATCAAATTAAATTCATTACCTATCTGGTGAGCACCTATTATTGAAAGGCTCTATGTTTGGAGGGTGGACACAGAGCCAGCCAGATCCTCTTTCCTCATGGACTAACATGCCCACAGGTGGAGAACAACAAACAATACAATTGGAAACTATCAGAAAGGGAATCATGGACCACTGTGGGTGAACAGAGAGGGTCCAGATCACATGACTTGGGAAGGGAGTAAAGTCAGAGGTGTCAGCTCCCGAAGGACAATATACAGTCTGAGTGTTTTAATACATCTGTTTTAAATCCAAATAAAATGTCTTCTAAAATCTTGACAAATATGAAAATGCAAAACCTGATCCCCCCCCCACACTCTCTAACAAATGAATTTCAAGTAAACAAAATAGTCATTAGTAGGTATTTTTCAATTTCACTATTTAATACATTATGACTATTTCCCAGCTTAATAAAGTTATGGCTATACTAGATTTCACTGCATAGAGGTCCTTTTATCTATTTACCCAACCTTACCCTTCCATGAACATACAGAAGCTTCCAATGTCTTACTCTTACAGCCAATGCTTCAAAGCCCATCTTCAAAATATGGTTTCACATTTGTCCAACTATCTCCTAAGGGTAAATTTCTAGAAGTGCAATTGCTAGGTCAAAGGTGAGGCATATTTAAAATGTTGATACCTCTGCCTAACCACTCTTAGAAAGTTTCCACCAAGTTATCTCAGCAACAGAGCATGCAGCTGCTATTCCCCAGACCCCCACCAATACATTGGAAAAACTTGTAAACGTTTTTGATCTTGGCACATCATATAGCTAACATATGATATGTATTTTCTTAATTTGCATTTTTCTTGCTAGAAATATTTAATATGTTTTCATAGGTTATTGTCCATTTTGAAAACAGCAAATATAACATGCCATTTTGCTAATATCATAAATCTACATCCACATAGCCTGACCTATTATGTATGTACATAGAGAGATGTCAGGAGGGATGGTCCTCAGCTGGTAAGAGTTGTCTATATTGGAGTGGTGGGATTTGGGGTAGTTTGTCTTTTTTTAAGTAAGGCTGAGATTTTTTTTTAAGTACATTTTCTATAAGGAGCATCTTTCTATAAGATTATTTTTGTAAATAGACAAAAATAATTAATTTTTTTAAAAACTTAAGTTCCAGGATATGTTTTAGGTATAGGATAAATTTTGTACAAGCGTGTATGGTCATAATGATACTAAGGTTAAATAATGATTTTGTTAGTGAAAATCACCAGGATGAAAAGGAATATGAATAGGTTTTTATTTATTCTTTTAGTCTAAACTGAAAAAGGAAACCTACTCTATCACAGTCTGGTTTTACATATTTTGTGTGGATTTCCACAGTCATGCCTCTGTGCAAGATCACAAAAGCTCCAGCCCTGTCCTCAAGGTGCTGATCATCCAGGAACTCCCCAGGAGGAGACTGCAGGGTCCCGAGGACTAAAAAGGAAGGGGAGCTTACCATCGCAGCCACTGTCCATCATGTGCTGGATGCTGTTCTAAGTCTGCATGTCCACTCTGAGACAGGGGCCATCACTGACCTGATTTTCCTGAAGAAGAGATTGATGCACAGAGAACTTTAGGAACTGCCCCAAGGTCACACAGCTAGTAAATAGGGGAACCCCAGTTAAAACCACTTGCTAATAGTTCTCCTCTCTTCCGGTTTTATCTTTCCAGCAAACACCAAATGAGGAATGCCTGTTCCTGGAACGGCTGGAGGAAAACCATTACAACACCTATGTGTCCAAGAAGCACGCCGAGAAGAATTGGTTTGTCGGTCTCAAGAAGAACGGAAGTTGCAAACGTGGTCCTCGGACTCACTACGGCCAGAAAGCAATCTTGTTTCTCCCCCTGCCAGTCTCCTCTGATTAAAAAAAAAAAATCTGTTCTGGGTGCTGACCACTCCAGAGAAGCCTTGAGGGGTCCTCACCTGGTTGACCCAAAAATGTTCCCTTGACCATTGGCTGCACTAACTCCCAGCCCACAGAGCCTGAACTTGTAGGCATTGCGCTTCTAAATGCCCAGTCCTCTTTTCTGCAGAGTCCTTTACCCCAGCATGGTTTGGAATAAAGGGACCAAATTGCCAATAGGGGCCAACTGGCTGGCCAGTCTGGGTCTGGGTTTGGATGTCCAATTGCCTCTGGGCACCTGCAGCAGGCTAAGCCCCTCAATGCAAAGTGGGGCCACAGGAAGTGTGTTAAGGGGGCTGCCCAGAGGGTCATTGGTAACTGCATACCATTTCCTTCTACTGAGTAAATCCTGGCTGCAATTCCCCCAAACATCTGGCATGACTCCCTTTTGTCCTTTCAGTACCCAACAAATATTAGCCAAGAAGTTTATAGCTAGGGTAGGGGAAGGCAGCAAACCAGGTGCAGAAAATTTCTCCTCAGTAACAGAAGGGATTTAAAATGGAAAGGGGAGATTGCATTCTGGTGGGCAAGGAAGGAGGGCAGGATCTCAATGCAGCATAAATGAAGGAGGGGAGACACAGCCCCAGGAAAGCAGGCTAAATCTATAGCCTTGGGAGGGGTCATCACCATGCTGTGACCTTCCCAGAGTTAGTCAGCAGCAGGAAGCCCCTGCTAATGTCAGGTGGAGAGCATGAGAAGTGGTTTCTTGATAAAGGCAAGGACATCGGATGCTGGGAAATTCATTTCAGTCTGGGGACTGGGTGTGGGAGCCATGAGAAAGCAAGGGAAACGCTGGCTGAGAGGATGTTGTGGAGGATGATTTTAGAAGCAAGAAGGAAAGAGCAGGTGACGCCACGAGTGACCTTGGCCAACTCAGTAAGCAGAGGCTTAGGGGTCCCAGCACAGTGCTGCCCCCACTCTGATGTGCTTACAGATCATCCAGGCATCTGGTTTCAAAGCAGATTCTGATTCAGCGAGTCTGGGTGGAGTTTTTACATTTCCAACAGATGCCCAGGTGCTGAAGATGCTGCTGCCTTCCCCAACCACACCTCAAGGAGCACAGTTCTGGCCCAAGAGGAAGTTATTCCAGTGAAGGTGGCTCAAATCCCTGGCCCTCAGCTCACCCAGCCTCGCTCTTATAAATGCACACCCCACAAGTCTGTCTGAGCGTTCCAGCAGCAGGGACCGCAGTCAGACCTGTGTTAAGGAGCATGGTTTTAAGGCGCTTTGGCCCAATGCCTATAAAATGCCCATTTAGAAGATATACAAAAGCAAACTTCGAAAATGTTAAACCCTCACAAACAGCTTTTCCCAAGAGACCAGTTGTGTTACCCTTACTTGTATTAAGTGTGCTTCCTGCTTAAGGTAAACTTGACCCAAGGGGCTAGCAAATTAGAAACTCTGTTCAGCTCTGACATATGACACTGATGCCATGTAAAGACCATTACTAAGCCATTTAAATTTACTTGAGACTGTATATTTTAATCACATTTTAAAATATAGAGCTCAAAGTAGTTAAACTGATCAGCATCGGCCACTGCGAATAAAAATAGGCAATGACGCACAAGCTACTCAATTATCTAATACTTACATTACAACTGCCGATGAAGTGAGATTTCTTGGTTTTCCACTGTGATGTTACAAATTATTTTGAAAATGGGGACACCTAATGATATGACAGGACAGGATATGATGGTTTCCAATAAAAATCGATGAGAGTGTTAGCTCAAGTTTTATAAGGAATTGAAGTAATTATTCATTAAAAAATAATTCCTTAATAATTGAATTGTCACATTTAGAATGAGAAGAATGACAATCTGTGAAAGTTCTGACAATAGTACAATCAAAGCACTGAACTAAGTTGACACTATGGTTAACAATCGTATTCTACATTTGTACAACAAAATTATTTCCTAACTCTTTAGTTTTGTAGCTTGGATAAGATGAGTCTATTTTATTTTAGTAAATCTTTGCAGGGAGTTTGGGGATGATGTGGCATGGCTTGGCATCTCTTTAGTATGAAAATTTGGCCATGAAAATGTACACAGAGAGGAAATCTCAGATTTTTATTTATAATGGTCCCTATTATATGAATCAAATTCAAACATAACATTGGATAAGAAAAATCAAATACGACTACTAACATGAGATGGAAGTCTGTGATTTTAGAGACCCAAAGCACCATCGTGACATTGACAATCTCAGCCCAGTAATCATTCGTGTATTTGTTCATTGAATATTAAGTGCCTACTGCATGCCTGGCACTGTCCTGGGTCCTGGGGTCCTGGGGACCTTCTCTGTCTGCTTTGCTGCTGAACCCTCTCCCAGGGTGTTATATTTATGATGAAAGAGGCCGTGGACTCATTTATTTCAGTCAAGTATAAACACCGAGTTCGTAGGTTCCTGGTGAAAAGACAGTTAAGTCCCAGAAACCCAGGTTTTAGAAGAATTAACAACTCCCAGCATAAGCTAAACCCCTATCAAAGTGTCAAAGGACATGGCGGGAGGTGCCTGTGGCTCAAAGGAGTAGGGCACTGGCCTCATATGCCGGAGGTGGTGGGTTCAAACCCAGCCCCGGCCAAAAACTCCAAAAAAAAAAGAAAAAGGACATGGCAAGGTAAACATACCATTGTCAACTTTAGAACTGATTGGCTTCAGAGGAACCATTTTCAAATCAGAATAAGAACCTGTCAAATCTTCTTAGGGGGGAGTTCTATGCTCAGTTTTGAATGTGCTCTAGTTCATGAGACACAGACACATTCCTGTTGCTCTCCGTCTTCCTTAAGTAAGTCTTATAGACATCTGCCTGTCATGTGCCTCTCACGTGGATTCATTTTCAGGCCAAGTCTGTACAAAGCCCCAGGAGCATATGTGCTTTTGATGGTTTGCAATGCGGAGGTGGAGGAGGTGATTGTCTGTTTCCTTGGAAGGCATGATCGCCAACAGTGTGTATGTACAAAAAACTGGTTGGAGAGTCCATTTTGCTGAAGAACAAGGTTCTCACATTGAATCAGAGGCGATGGAGCCACGTCCCCAAGTCCCCTGTCGAGTAGAGTACACTGCCTACGACCAAGCTCACAGGTTGCACAGCAGACTTCTGGTGAAGACCCCCTACAATCTTACATCACTGTCTCGCCCCCTCCTTTTTTCTGTGTCACAGTCTGCTCCTTACAGATATTAATAAACGTTCCACCAATAATAGGTGTCATTGTCTGAGTTTCTAAGAATTAAGCATTTAAGCATTTAATAAGAGTTTCTGGCATCCCTGAGGGGGTCTGCTGAGCTCTCTATGCTTACCGGATAAGAGACTTTAAGGGCTGACAGGAGACGCTAAGGTAGACACCTTTTTCAGTTTGTTTGGAAACATATGGCAATATGGGTGAATTTCTAGGTTTCTGTTAAGGAAACATACATATTCAGGAAAGCTGCCCCTGAAGAGCCAGGCGCCATAAATAAATCAGTTGAAACTCTTTCTGTATCACATAAGCCATGTGGAATTGTGCTGCTATTGTTGAGGTGACTGGTGGTGCTTAGGCAAAGATATTGTGACCTGAAAAAATATATTTAAGGACTGATTTATAATTTTAAGTCAATAGCAACAGGGTGCACCTCTTCATCCTAAGAGACCCGATGTGGAGCTGTAGATTTACCCATCAGATCTGTTGAGTTATCATGATAAGCAATGTTTCCCTAAATACGCCTCTGTGTCCGATGGCTTCTTATGCTTAGGAGAAAGTGTGCCACTGCTGACACATCATGACAGAGTCAGACAGCACATCCACACATGCACACACATGCACGCATACATGCACTTAGACCTATAAGAACACTTGGGCAGTCTCTGCTACTTACATACCACAATCCATTCCTTCTTTTTTGGAGACAGAGTCTCACTGTGTCACCCTGGGTAGTGTGCTGAGGCATCACAGCTCACAGCAACCTCAACTCTTGGGCTTAGACAATTCTCTTGCCTCAGCCTGTGAAGTAGCTGGGACTACAGGCGCCTGCCACAACACGTGGCTATTTTTTTGTTGTGGTTGTCATTGTTGTTTAGTAGGCCCAGGCCAGGCCTAAACCTGCCAGCCTCGGTGTAAGTGGCCAGTGCCATAACCACTGTGCTGCAGGCACTCAGCCTCATTCCTTCTTTCCCTTTGAAAGTTGCCCAATGCCATATTTTTCTACTTTCTGGATCTTAACTCATTGTAAAAACAATTTCTCTTACAACCTGGCACATACTTATTCTCAGATGTACACATAACTGAAACAAAATATTTCACAAAACTATGTGAGATGCACGTTGATGTTTCTATTACATTCCAAGAAAGCATATTAGTCAAACAGCAGTTAAATGGGGTCATAGCTCTAACGGGTCACAATTGCAGTTTGAAAAACACTAACTTAAAAGCAACCGTTCTTCCTAGAGATGGTGAGATCCATTTAGGATCCTGTGGTATGACTTTAGTCTTTTCAAAGACATGGTTTTTTCTTGAATAAACAAGACAAGGGGACATCCTGTTACCCAGGAACCATCTGTCCTGAAGGCTCTTTTAGCCTGGTTTGGTACTAATCATGCAAAATGAATGTCCTGATACAGACTCCACAGGCATCCGCAGCTGCCTCCGGGGCTGGTCTTAGCAGATTTCTGCTCTTAGAAGCCCTGGAGATTCTCACCCCCACTCCCTCCTTTGGAATTCTCATCACTTGAGTCTTAAGGTCATTCCCTCCCTAACGCCCACACTCCTCATTCTTCTCTCTTGGCCCCCAAGTTCCTATTTCTTAACCATTTCTAAGAAAGTCATTAAAAGCCGACTGAACCAGGAAAAGGCTATAAACCCAGGGCCCCCAAGCATTCTTCCCAGCTCCCATCACTTTCTGGAAATTATCCTCTTTCACCTCTTATCTACCTTTTAAAAAGTTTATCGTTCATGACTCAGTCATAAGATAAACACCATTGCTACAGGAATCCAGCTTATACTGGCCTCAAAATGCACATCTGTCTGATCCAACTTTTTTAAAAAAGTAATTCTATGCCCTAAATAAATGTTTAGGAGGGTTGGGGTAGCTGAGAAGGGACTTCTGGGGGGTAAAACTTGACTGCAAAGAAAAAACACAAATGAAGCCATCACTTTTTTTTTTTTTAATCTGAGTGACATCCTGTTTTTCATGGGGTGGGAACAGAAGAGAAATCTCAAATTCTAAGCACTTTTTTGGTTGTGACATTGTGGCTTGTATGGTAATAGTGGCATATCAATCAAAAAATGTGCCATCAACTATACTTTCACAAATTAACAAAAATTATTCTCAGGAGCAGAAGTGGCAATGCAGGAATACTGAAGCCCAAGTGAGCAGGGAAAGGACTCGTATGTTCT